ACTTGTAAACCTCTAAAATAAAATAGAAAACAAAAGAAAAAAAGAAATGTTGGTTAATTGTGTATCACACATTACTTTAAATTAATTGATGTGTGTGGCCTACGCACTCAAATAGAGAGAGAAAGATGGCCCACCTTGTCCCCGACTACCTTTTTTTCTTACGTTTTTTCTTAATTACCTCCCATGGCCCACCTCACTCCCCTTTTTTACGAAAAAATTTATTCCTTCCTTTTAATATGAAATAGAAATTTATATGTAAAGTTACAAAGTGCATGATCAACTTAGACAAAATAGTTTGAAATGAGCTTATTTGTTAGAATTAGTATTTTTATCAATTCATGAATGTGTAATAAATATATACCTTTATTTTTTTCTTTATTCATAATTATAAAGTTCATAAAAGATATTTACTAATAATAATAATAATAATAATAATAATAATAATAATAATAATAATAATAATAATAATAATAATAATAATAACATGTGTGTCATTTCAAAGAAAAAGCTGGAAAAAAATATGATGAATTTTTAACTAATTCTATTATTAATAATCATTACGTAATTTAAAACCAAACATTTGATTGATGGGAAACCCAAACAAAATACTGAAAAAAAAAACCCTTGTTTTACCTTGCATTTCAATGGACAGAAACCCAAATTTTTCCATTTTTAATATTCCTAATTCTTCTAAGATGATAACCCGCCTTCTGTAAATTCCAACTATAATCGAGACATGCCTCTTGCGCTCGACCAATTTCCCAGAATGCAATTACAACCCCAATTCTAAAGTTTTCATCTCAATCGATGCCTTCATTTCCCATCCAAGCCTCAGAACAACAATCTCAGTATATATGGTCAATGGAATCCCAATATAACATGTCAAACTCGTTTGGCATGACTTTTCAACAAAGTAGTTTCATGCCAACAACGATGAGTACACGCTTACAAGATGCCGTAAGAGCTAGTACTGGACTAGAGGTTGAAGTAATTGACCACATTTATCTTAGCAAAGATATAGGAAAAAATAAGAAAGCTGAGCCAAAGAGACGTAGGAAATTTTCTACAAAATCATGGACACGAGACGAGGATATATTGCTTCGTCGAGCTTTCTGCACAATCTCGAGTGATCCGATTGTTGGAGCTCAACATAATTTAGATGGCTTCTGGAGGCGAATCACTCAGTGCTACAATGAAAATGCTCAAGCTCAAAACTTTATTGAAAGATCCATGGAGTCGGCAGAATCTCATTTTTATGCTTTTCATGGAGATTGTCTAAAATTTAAGCATCAATAAATAGGTTCAGAGCTATCTAGAGAAGTGGTGGAAACGATACTTTTGCGTTGCAAAATGCATTAATGGAGTGGAATAATGATGGTAAGAGAAAAGGAGCCTTAAAATGGCTCATTTGTTGGGAAAATCTAAAAAATAGTCCTAAATTTGAAGGGTCGAAAACAACAAGTCAATGAGGGAAAAAGTCTAGAACGTCTGAATTGGGATATCAGACTTCTGGATATAGCCACGATTTGGAGCAAGGTTGTGATGATGATGATGATGATGAGAGATATGTGTGTCGCCCAATTGGTCAGAAGGAAACAAAGACAGGGAAGAGAAAGGTAAAATGTGGAATGAGAAGTAACACTGATCAGAAAATTGAATGTATGTTAGAAGTCTTTGGACATATTAAAGATATACATTAAAAACAATAGTTTGAACTTAATAAGTTGGTTCATATGGAGTCTAAAAAAACCTATCGAGAAATGCTAAAGAAGGACACTTGAACATGACTGAAAGAGAATTTGAAGTTCCTTATGTACTTCTTGCTGAACTGAAAGAGGAATTGGGCCTGAGTTGCATTTTTAATGATTTTATAATGATTACTATGTACTGTATTTTATTTTAAGTAATTTGTGTTGTCCTTAATTTTATTTTGTACTTATTTTATATCCTTATGTACTCTATTTCTCCTTTGTGTTTAATTTAAATTTTTATCATCCTTGTTTTATTTTGTGTACCATATTCTACAGGCACTAAATACATTTCCATAAAATAAGGTATTTTATTTATGTGAAAATTCAGTGACCACCAATCAAAAAGTACAGGGAAGGTAGGTATAGTGGTGGACATTTACGTGTTTCTCACGCTACCATCTTCACCTTCACTTTTTGCATCTTATTGGACTTCTTTTTTGTAGGATTTTATAACTTTTCTTCTTTTAAGATGTATAGTAATACCAATAATCGAGTAGCATAACGTGCTTTCTTAAAAAATATGCTTGATTAATCTTTGGTGCAAGCTGAATTTTCCTTGATGGAGGTTGTGATTAATCAGTTTGAAAAAGCCAAACAAGGTGAAAATTCAAGTAGGCGAGAAAGGTGAGTAGTCCATCGAGGTCGTGATGTCGGACATACTCTACTCATAAGAGGGAACAAGATGTGAAGTGAGTTGGTCCTGGGCTTTGATTTAGACCTTAATGAGCTCCCACTTGAATGGGCCCACGACGAGACGGGGAGTGGTGTCGCATGCTCAGTGGTTTATGGCTTGTAAACTATATTTTGCTTGATTAGGCGCGATAGCAATTTTAAATAAATATGATCGTCTTCGTATTTAGTATGTTTTTTTTTTCGCTAGTAGACTTTTATTTATTATTGGGCTATTGCTCTTATTTTTAGTTGGTGGGTCTTATGTAGTGGGCTTTTGAGTTAGGGCTAATAATCTGATGTAATTTAAACATCGTCTTCTCTTTGAGAGGGGCAGACTTGATTATTGGTATTTTGAGATTTCTCTTGAGAATTGTACGTGTTCTTCCCAATCATACATACGCTCTACATCAGTTGATATCAGCAGACCAGCAACAATCAATGATGCCACAAAAAAGAAACGCCATAATCGATCAGGCCATTGATGAGCGCTTCCAACGGATGGATGAG